CTATCCATCCATTCACCATCAATCCATCCACCCACCCATCCATCCCATCCATCCATCTACCATCCATCCACCCACCCATCCATCGAGCTCCCATCCATCCATCCCATCCATCCATCTATCCACCCATCCATCCATCTGTCCACCCATCCATCCTGCTACCATCCATCCATCCACCTACCCATCCATCCATCCACCCATCCATCATCCATCCACCCACCCACTTGGCCAGCAGTTCTCTTTCCTGTGGCCACTGGGCTTCACACAGCCCAGGGGCTCCGATCCAAACAGGAGAACCACGTTTGATTCCCAGCTCCTCCTCCTCATGTGATGCCACCACTGTCTGTCTGTCCTCGGAGGCTGGCATGTTGCTGCGATGCCCCCCAGGTCTCAGTGGCACGTCCACACTCAAATGAGGCAGGAGGAAAGGCCTGGCAGCTGGCTTTGGAAACCCAGCCCATGAAAACCATGTGGAGCAAAAGGACCTAGTCCGGGCAGCGCGTTATCCTTGTGTGTGGAGTAACTACTGTGTGCTGGGGCTGTTTGGAGGACCACTAAGAAGGAAGCTTGTCCCCCTGAGCTGGGGGTGCCAGGCCACAGTCGACCCCCACCCGCCTCATCTGAACCCCCTCCCCGCCAGCTGAGCTAGGCCCCAGAGATGTCGTTCTAAGATCACACACTGACCTCTGGGGCGGCCCCATGAAGCCCCGCCCACCCTATGGCCTCAGTTTCATGACTATTCCTGCGGCTCAGGGAAGGGGGATGGGGCTGGAAGGGCAGGGAGTGGCCTGGCCCCACCTAACCCAGCTGTCCCCTTGGCCCTGCCCCAACCCCCCCTAATCCACCTTTGAGCTGACACAGCGTCTGGAGACTTCAAGCAACCTGCTAAAGTCGCCCAAAGCCCCCTGCGCCGCTGCACACCCCATCCTGCCCACGCCCTTAACCCTCCAGGTCCAATTAGCTAATTGGGGCTTGAGCAAGGAAGCAGCTCGTTAGTGTGTTAGAGGAAAGACATCATTACTGTTAGAGGAAAGACATCATTACGGGCGGTTCAATAGCCCCCTCCCCACCCCTTGTAACTGCTGACCCAGGGGGTTCACTGCACCCTGGCCATAGAGCCCTTGTGAGCCCATCTTACAGGTGGGCAGCTGAGCCTGACCAGGGACACAGACCCCCACGGAGCCCCACGGAACTCCCCCCAGGTGCTAAGCTCACTCATCTCAGCCTCCCTCCCCATTGAGTTACCTGGGCTCAGGTGTCAGTATATAACTGGGCTTCCCAGGTGTCTATAGCTGATTTCTGGAAAGAAGTTTGCCAGGCCTTTCTTGTGAGGGACTCTGGGGTGGACTTGAACACAACCCCCCTCACCTCCCTGGTGCGGACACACCCATGAACCATTGGCATCACCCAAGGGTGTTCCCTTTCCTCTGAGCCTGTCTCTCTGTCTCCTGAACTTCCAACATTCTGGAAGGATTGTCTCCACTTCTTCACCCTGGGTCCCCTGGTCCCCGCCTGGACTGGAGCCCCTAAGCAGCCCTCCCTCCAGCCTCCCCCCTCCCATTCACCCCTTTCTTAGCACTTGGATCCCCGCTTCCCTGGCCAGCTCAGCCCTGGCATCTCCTGGATGCCCCCTGCCTCCTCTGACCAGCCAAGATCAAGGCAGCCTTAGGCTCTTCCCTTGAAACTCGCTGTACCTCTAGGAGATGCTCATCATTCACTTGCCCCCAAAACAGGAACCTGGGGTCTCCCCCATGCCTACATTGGGCACCACCCAAATGCCATACTGACCCTCACCTTCAGCCTGTCTCACCTTACTCCCACCTCCCAGGCTCATCCTCCTGATCTCTGGTCCTGCCCTACCCCACTCTACAACCTGCCATAACTCCGCAGTACCCTCCCTTCCACCATCCACTTTGTCTGGGGTTTGCAACCTTGTCATCGCCTCCTATCCCGCCTACAGCCACACACACAAACACACGCACACTCCCTCCTGCTCCACTTCTTTCACTAAGCTTCCTACCTGATCCCTCCCCCCCACCCCCATTGGTCCTCCTGTGTTTACCTGCTGGTTGTGGATCTTCCCCTACTCCCCCACCCCCAGGGGACTTTGAACAGTACCTGGAACATAGGAACAACACCCCCAAACTCACTGACATCGAGTTAATGCTGACTCACAGCGACCCTATAGGACAGAGTAGAACTGCCCCTGTGGGTTTCTGAAACTGCAGCTTTTCATGGGAGTAGAAAGCCTCTTTTGTCCCATGGAGCGGCTGGTTGGTTTGGAACCCCTGACCTGGTGATTGGCGGCCCACAGTGTAACCCACTCTTCCATCTGATACAAAGAAAGCCCTCGGTGGGTGTTTGCTGGGTGGAGAGATGGTGAGCTTCTATTCCTACGTCAAAGGCCAGCTAAAATGAGCCCACCCCAGCCTGACCTTTGCCTGGGTAGGTGTCCATGGGAGCCAGCAGAAAGTGTCTTTGCCTCTTAAGGCTCAGCCCACGTGCCCTGACCCCCACCCGAATGGACAGCTGTGAGCCCACAGAGGTGGGGGGCTACTTCTCAGTGGAGATAACAAGGGCGTTTCTTGAGCACTTCCTGTTTGCCAGCCAATGCCTGGGCACAGTGTGTGACATGTCTCCAGCATGCCCCCCTCCCCCATTTCCACAGCCAAGGAAGCTGAGGCCCAGAAAGGCAGAGGTGGCCCTTGGTAGCTGAGCCTGGATGCATGCAGCCCCAGCCCTGACCTCCCTCCCTCCACTAATCACCTCTGCTAATCCTCCCTGCTGGGGCTGGCGGCCAGGCTGGGAGCAGAAGGTGGCCTGTGGTGTTGGCCCTCAGGGGTCTGGCAGACGGAGGGCTGCGTGGTGGTGAGCCTGGGCAGAGGGCACGAGTGAGTGGTGGGGTGGGGTGTGCGGGACCCCCTGGGGCAGAGGGCTTGAGGGGTAAGAAGGCACCCCTTGGGGAGCAGTGTACTGCCTTTTCCCCTCTCTGGGTGGGGGTGGGGTGGTCTAAGAGTGAGGCAGAGAGATGAAGGGGGCTTGACGCAGAGACACAGATGAGAAGAGAGACAATAGGGCCAGGGAGACAATGAGAGACCAAAACCAAAGCCAACCCTGTGTGGACGGGTCCATTCGGACCTGTAGCCATTCGATATTGGGTCTCCAGGGCTAGATCTTTACAGAAGACAGACTCCTGAGCAGTGGCTGTTGGGTTAGAACCGCTGGCCTTGAGGTTAACAGCCCAATACCTACCTCACAGCGCCACCAAGGACCCTTAACATAGAGACAGTGACATAATCAGAGAGAGAGAGAGAGAGAACCCTGGGGGGGTGGACACCCTGAGGCGGGGGAGGGTTCAGGTAGAAGCGCAGGACAAAGTGGCCAGAGACGACTTCCCTGGCAGGTGCTTGGGCATCTCCTGTCCTCACCTCGCCACTGCTGCCACCGGCAATTCCTCTTGCTATCACACCACTGTCTAGTCTGCTGCTGCCCTGCCAGGGGAGGGGCAAAGGACCAGAAGGCATGTTCCCGGGCCCAATTGAGGGGCCCACTGCCGAGGGTGAGTCCCCGGGGCCAGACAAGGAGGCCTGCAAGAAGAAGCGCCGGAGGAACCGCACGGCCTTCACCACGTACCAGCTGCACCAGCTGGAGCGGGCGTTCGAGGCCTCCCACTACCCGGACGTGTACAGCCGAGAGGAGCTGGCCGCCAAGGTGCACCTGCCGGAAGTGCGCGTGCAGGTGAGAGGGCCCTCAGTACGCTGTCCACTCCCCATACCCAGGCAGGAGATGCTGGGGAAGTTTCCCGGAGGAGGGGCTGATGGGGCTGGGGCCATGGCGGCTAAGTAGGAGTTCGCCAGATGAGCAGGAGAAAGAATCGGTGTTTATCTCGCCTGTGCGGAGCTGGGTGGGAGGGGGAGGCAGAGAATGTCGCGACAGAAGAGCTGCGAGGACCCTGAATGTCCAGCTCAGTGGCTCAGGCTTCATGCTGAGGGGCCTAGGGGCTCTGGGCAGAGGATGGCAGGAAAGGGCTGAAATCAACAGATTCCAGAGCTGACTGGATTGCGGGCATTACAGCGGGTAGGGTGGTGGGAGAAGGCGCAGTGGAGAAGTTATTAGCGATTTTCCCCGCCCCCAGGTCTGAGAGGGAGGAGCCTTAGCAATTCTCCCCGCCCTAGGCCAGAGAAGGAGGAGCCTTAGTGATTCTCCCTGCACCCAGGTCTGAGAAGGCGGGGCCTTGGCGAGTCTCCGGAAAGGGCGGGGCCTTAGAGACTCCCGCCCCCCGCTGTGAGAAGGCGGGGCCTTATAGACCCGCCCCCAGCTATGAGTGGGCGGGGCTTAGAGACTCCCGCCCCCAGCTGTGAGAGGGCGGGGTCTTAGAGACTCCCGCCCCCGGCTGTGAGTGGGCGGGGGACTCTTGAGTGGGCGGGGCTTAGAGTCCCCGCCCCCGACTGTGAGAGGGCGGGGCCTTAGAGACTCCCGCCCCCAGCTGTGAGTGGGCGGGGCTTAGAGGCTCCCGCCCCCAGCTGTGAGAGGGCGGGGCCTTAGACAGACTCCCCGCCTCCAGGTCTGGTTCCAGAACCGCCGGGCCAAGTGGCGGCGCCAGGAGCGTCTGGAGTCCGGCTCCGTGGCTGTGGCAACCCCGAGGCTCCCCGAAGCCCCCGCCGTGCCCTTCGTCCACCCTCCGGCCGTGCCACTGACTCTGGAGCCCTGGCTGGGCCCGGCCCCGCCAGCAGTGGCCGGCCTCCCTCGCCTCCTGGGCCCGGGCCTCACCATGCCGCCCCACTGGGCGTCTCCAACCTTTGCTCCGACCTTCACTGACGGCTTCCCTCTGGAGGAAGCATCCCTGCGGCTGCTGGCCAAGGAGCATGCGCAGACCCTGGACAGGCCCTGGGCTCTGGCTTGAGCCAGGTGCCCGCCCCACCTGGGACCCCCTTGAGAGTGGTCACGCCAAGGTCATGAACCGGTTTTGCTGTCAGGCTGCCCATCTGGGCCCACCCACGCCTCACCCTGCCTTTCCGGGAAGACTGACCCCAAGCTGGGGGAAGTGGTCACAAGGCCCCCTGGCCTGAAGCTACTGGGATCTGCCCTTTTTTATTATTAATGTGAGCATACAAGGGGGTACCCCCAAAAAACGGAATTGTACTGGGGAGAGCGGAGCGCTGTAGTACACATTTTTCCCGATAGGCGAGCCTTGAGCAACTTCCTCTGGGTTAGTGCCCCCAGTGGCGATGCCTGGTCACAGTGAATTTTTTTTCCTAAAAGCAGTTTCTCTCTAACCTCGTTTTTTTGTGATGGCCAATTTAAAAGAACAGTGTGTGGCTGTGAAGTTTTGTTTCCTCCTGGGGAAAAATGCTGCAGAAACTGTTGTGACATTGAACACAGCTTACAAGGACAACGCTTTGGTAAGAACTCAAGTGTACGAGTGATTTCCTCATTTCAAAAAAGCGGAAATGTCAGTGACCTCCTTCTGGACGTCCATCAACGTCCATTTGGAGTTCATCCCACCAGGTCCGACTGTTACTCAAGCTTCCTATTTAGAGGTTCTGAAAACACTGCGAAACAGTGTGCGACAAAAATCTGATTTGTGGCAGACAGGGGACTGGTTTTGCCATCGCGACAGTGCACCTGCTCACGCAGGCATCTCAGTGTGCCAGTTATGGGCAAAAACAGCATGCCTCTCTTGTCCCACGCACCTTTACTCCATGCGACTTGTGTCTCTGTGAATGCAGAGGGACAGGAAAGGACAGCAATTTGCCCATATAGAAGAGGTGAAGCAAAAAGAGGGAGATGCTGTCAGCCATCCAAACGGATGAGTTTGAACAATTTTTCCAAGAATGCAGATTTCACAAATGTATGTAGTGTAATGGAGAGTACTTTGAAGGTGATGGGTTGTTTTGTAAAAATCAAAACAAGTTGTCTTTTTTTGGGGGTAGCCCCTTGTATACCCAGTCAACCCACACGCTGACGCAGCCGCCATGTCCCGCTCTTCAGTTTGGCAACACTGGTGACCACCTTTAAGTTGTGCAACCATCTCCCCAACCTTTTCTGTGCTGTTCCTCTAACCCCACCCCACCCCCATCCCTTGAACATGAAATTCCAGCTCCTGCAACTTCCTGTCTGACCTACTGAACTGCCTCTGTCAATTTGGCCCCATAGCAGATCATCTTAGGAGAAACACTCCTTACCGGTTAAGCTAAGCTTTTGTTTGGTTTAAAGACTTCAGGGATACTTTTGGTTTAAAGTTTAATGATTTCAGTTCATTCCATCTCTCTGGCTCCAAAAAAACCTGGGTTCCGGGAGAATGTGGCATGCTGTTCTTTGTCCTCCCCCCCCCCCCTTTTGATTAGTATTCTCTCATGGAATCCTTGCTCAAAGAATCTGCTCCTGGTAGCCAGGCACTGTCCAGTTCTTTTGGTTTCCTGGCAAAGGAGGCATTCCATCACGGAGGCAATTAGTCACAGCCCGTGCCCCCTTGAGGGCAGTCTCCCCCTCTGTCACACGGACATGTGCAGGCTAGGGCTGGAATCAGGCTTTGCTGTAGGCTTGGTTCTGAGAGTGGATGCCAAGCTCATGGGCGGATGAGATGGACATGACTCAGGCCTGAGCTTCCCCGTGTGACCCAGAGATCCTCCTCCCTAGGCCACTACCTGGCTGACCATGTAACAGCTCCAGGTCCTCACAGCCAGCCCACCAGGCTCACGTTGGTACTCACCACCTGCCCTCCGCTCAGGCTCCACACCATGCCAACACTTGGCCCTCATACCTGTGGCCTTCCTCCACCCACAGCTGCCCAACTTCAGGGAAGCCCTCCATGGTCAGCACCCCATGCGTCCAGCCACCCCCACCCCCACCCATGTCCTCACCTAGTCAACTACTCATCTATCCAGATATCCATCTTCACCTGTCTACTTACCAACCCACCCCTCAACTCAAACATCCAGGCCCCCACCTGCCTGCCCATCCAACTACTCAGCTATCTGAATATCCATCTATCCACTCACCTGTCCATCCATCAGTTCATGCATCTGCTTACCATCACTTCAACTGTCCATTCACCCACCCACCGGTGTCTGCGTACCCAACTATTCGTCTGTCTAAACATCCATCCACTTACTTCATCCATATACTTGCCAACCCATCTACCCACCTGCCTATCCACCAACGTACACACCCACCCATCTATTCTTGTATCCACCCACCTACACCCCCCACCCCCACCCCGTCTTCTCATCCATTCAATATTCTCAACAACACACTGGCGGGGGCGGTATCTCCATGTCCATTGAAAACAGATGAAGGTTCTTGGGGAAGAGAGTCTAGGAGCCCCCAGGGCAGGGGATGTGCAGGGTGGGAGCACAAAGCCCTTGGTGACTCTGCATGGTGGCTACACACCCCCACCCCCACTGAGGGGGCCTACTGGGTAGGGTGGAACCCAGAGAGGAGAGAGGGTGTCTGCAAGGGCCGAGTCCTCTGCCAGGGGCCTGGCTTGTCCAGCAGAAGCACAGCCAGTTACTGGTGCGGAGGGAATGGGCAGTTAACTTCTTTGTGGCGCTCCCACCCAGCCCAAGTTCCAAGAACAAGACCCGGGTGGACCCTGGCCACATGGACCCCAAAGTCTTTATTGGCCCCCCACGGTCCTGGCCTGGGCGTAGCAGGCAGGAACCTGGAGGAGGGGGTTGCCTGTTCGCGAGGGAAAAGTCTGTTTCCGGCAGGAACGTAACACGTCGTCTGTGGGAGCCCAGGCAGGGTGGGGTGCAGCCCCACCCCCACTAGAACTTCTGGTTCTTGCTCAGCCGGTTGTGGCGCCAGATGTTGTGTTTCCGCAGCAGCCGCCAGTACTCCCGGGTCCCAGGGTCCAGCTCCTCCAGCGTCTTGGGGGGACCCACGTTCATGTGGAACAGCCTGAAGAGGGGTGCAGTGGGATGGAAGGGATGGGAATTAGCACTGCACGTCCCAAGGATGCAGAACAGAACCCTGCCTCTGTCAGCTACCTGGAACACTCTCCTGAGCCGCCCACTTTACTCAACCTTACAGAACTTTCCCCAGGACCCCACCCTGTCTCCTCCAGCCCCATGGGCCTCCTTGACATTCCTAGGACTCACCAGGCCTGGTCCTGCCTCTGGGCCTTTGCATGGCCGTGCCCTCGTCTGCAAGGCCCTAACCACCCATGGGGGCCTGGGTTCAGAGGTCACCTCCTTGGTAAGAAACAACTCACTGCCCTCAGTCAATGCCGACTCACGGTGACCCTGTAGGGCAGCTTTAGCACTGGCCCTGCGCGTTTCCGAGAGTGTAACTCTTGACAGGAATACAGAGTCTCATCTTTCTCCTGCAGAGAGACTGGGGGTTTCCAACTGTTGACCTCGAGAATTGCAGCCCAAAGCCTAACCACTCTGCCCCCAAGGCCCGGTTCCATAGGAAAGCTCTCCCCTGAACCTTAGACTCTGCAGCCAAGCCCCTCCCCTCCACCCCCTCACTCATTCCCCTGATGATCTGTTTAAGGTCTGGCCAGCTCCTTGCTCCTTCGTGGGGTGTGTGTATATAAGTGTGTGCATGTGTGCTTTGCTTCAGCACTTAGAACAAAGCCTGGCACACAAGGCTGAAGAAGTATTCCTTTAAGGAAAACGGAGAGCCCTGGTGATGCAGTGGGTAAAGCAGTGATCTGCTAAGCAGAAGGTCGGGGATTCAAACCCACCTGCCGCTCTGTGGCACCAAGATGAGGCTGTCTGCTCCTGTCAGGATTAACAGTCTCGGAAACCCCAGGCAAGGTCGCTGTGAGAGGGCACACCCCACCGGCAGCGGGAGGTGATGGGAAAGATTTAATACATGTGCATTGTGCACGGGATGAGGGATGAGGTTTGTGGTGCCATCACCCTTAACCCACTCACAGACAGGGCAGCCCTGGCAAAGACATCGGCACGGACCAGGCTCCTCCACCCCCAATGGTGCCCCTGACCTCCTCCTGGGACAGCTGGCTGTGGGGAGCTGGTGAACCACTTACCACTCAGGGTACTCAGCATCCGGTTTCAGGAGGACATCCTGACCCTCTTTGTAAATGTTGACGCCCATGGCGTGCGTGGTGAGCCGGACCGGGTCTGTGCACACGTCTGGGTCCTTCAGGGCCTCGCTGGCCACACTGCCCTTGCTACTTTTGCCCCCTTTTATGACTGGGGGTGGGGGTGGGAGGAGGAAAGAGGGACTCAGGCCAGCCCTGTCCCTTTCATGGAGGCTAGTTGTCCTCTCCCTCCTGGCATGGCCTCAGGCCTGGCTGGACACTGACCCCCCTCCTTGGGTTCAAAATGATTTTAAGTGGGACAAGGGCATACTGTGACATGACACTGGGGCCCAAAACTAAAATAAAGGCAAACGCTGCAGCTCAGAGGGACTGAGTTGCACGTTCTAAGTCCCATATTAGCCCCCTGAGCAAGTCTCTGGTGGCTACTCTGCACCTTTATCACCTGAGGACCTACATTCCTCTTTCCACAGTGGAGATCAGGCATGGCTGTATCCAGCTGCAACCCCATGTGTGCTTTCGTTTTGCTTAAGTGACTACTATCTCAACGAGTTTTGTTGAATTTAGAATTTCTGGCGAGGATCAGCCCAAGATCTCCTAGCAGTGGTTCTCAACCTTCCTAATGCCGCGACCCTTTCATACAGCTCCTCATGTGGTGGTGACCCCCAACCATCATATTTTCGTTGCTACTTCATCACTGTCATTTTGCTCCTGTTATGAATTGGGCGACCTCTGTGAAAGGGTCGTTTGACACCCCCAAAGGGGTGTCGACCCACAGGTTGAGAACTGCTAGGTTAGGACCTAACGATTTAGAGGTAGAAAGCTGATTCGAACCCAAGTACTTGGCTCTCCTCCAAAAACGCAGCCTATAGACCCACGCCTGCGCCGTGAAACGCACTGCTCCGTCTGTCTGGCCCCCAAGTCCTGCGGCTTCACAGTGACGCCTGCGTAGTAACAAATCAAAGCTCCCGAGGCCCGCGCCGCGGGTGCACTCGCGCTTTAAGGCTCCTGCTACAAACGAGCGCAGGCGCGGGGAGCTGAGCGTCGGCCCTGTACGCCTGCGCACTGAGCGGACGATTCCCGCGCCTGCGCAATACCAGCTCCCCGTGTCACAGTCCCCACATTCGCTACCCTTAAGCTAGTTTACCCGGTTTCTTGGCATAATTCCGGACGAGGGGCCTGCCGGGTGGGCAGAGGTTCGGGAGCTCCTGGGCCCGCCAGACGGCCCAGCTCCGGGCAGTCACAAGCAGACGTCTGGACGCCATGACCAACGCCGACTGCTTGCACGAGCACGCTTCCGGGAGACGTCACTAGCTCAAGGTTTGCTTGGGAGATGTAGTCTCCTAGAGATTTCTGGGAAGTGTAGTTTTTCCAACCACAGACGTCGACGCGGGACGCTTGAAAAAAGTTCGTGGAGAGATGGAATGAAAAGATAACGGAATTTGTCCACGGACTTTTTGAAGCCCCGTCCCGTTTATTGCGATTCCCTTAAGCCTTTGTGGGCGTCCCCGATTTCTTTTCTTTTTTTTCTTTTTACACTGGGGCGCTTTATTGGGCTTGCTGAGAGATGGAGATACATGTGCAAACAGCTGTGGACAGCGGGGGCAGGCAGGGCAGGGGTCAGGTCGTCCAGCAGGGCAAGGCCAGAGGGTTCAGGACACAGCATGGTGCAATGGCTAGTGGCTTTGCTGGCCCATCATCTGTGACAGGGCTTGGAAGCTCCCGATTTCTTTATGAGGGTACTTGCAGCGGTTATTTCCATGACTTCTTGCTTTATTATTATTATTTATTTAAAGACCACACCCTACATATTCCTGATGCTAGTAAGCCTCAAACTCCAAGGAGACTTTTCCTCCGTACATTCCATCCCTGTTGCTAAATCCTGAACCTGCTTGACCTCGTTTTATACGCACAATTCAGAAGAAAGCATTATTATGCCTCCGTTTATAATTACGGAAACTGAGGCTGGAGTGATGGTAGAGCCCTCCAGTTAGCCAGTAGCCAAGGGACATCTGTCTCAAGTCTGCAGAAGCCCTGTGCTGCTAAGCCCTTGGGTTTCTAAGCCCAAGGTCCAGTTTCAACAGGGACCCCATGCTGCTTTGGGTTTGTCCAAAGTCACTACCTCGCACTCCCCTTCAATATTGTCCAGCGCCATATTTCCCCATCTGTCACCCCATAACGATATTTGAGAAAACAGGCCAAAAGGCCAGCTCCAGCTTTCGTGGTGCATGAGTAGTCTCGGGGTTCGAGCTCTGGGCCCCACGCCCAGCTGCCGGCCCTAGCGTCCGCGCGCCGGCGGTCTCCATGAAAACTACATTTCCCAGCAGACCCTGCGAGACCGCGCATGCTCACTTGGTCTGGAGCGCTACGCGGACAGATCAGCCGGCGCCCTGGCCGGGAATCGGTGAGTTGCCAGTGCTGGGAGGGCGGCCCCTCGGTTTGAGAAGTAAGTGGCCGGGCCTAGGGCCGGTGCCTGAGATCTGGTGTCTGAAGTCTTGAGTCTTAAACCCGAGGATTGGGAAGTCACATAACTCTTAGCTGTAGAACCGAGTTTTCAGTGTTGAGTCTGGGGTCTGGGACCTGAGTATGGAAATGGAAGCCTTGCTCTGTGTGGCGCCTTGAGTCGCTAGTCGGATTGCCTGGGTTAAAGTCTGGGTATTGAGTTAGGAGTTGTGGGAATGGGGGGTTCGAAGCTGGGGTCTCGGGGCTTTGCACCTGGGGGGTCTGTAGAGTTAGGGTGTGTATTTTGATCTTGCGACCCATGATTTGGGACAAAGGGGAGGAAAGATGTGGAAGGACCATGATGCGGGTGGGGGTGGGCAGCAGAGTCTGGGGTGACAGTTCTGGGCGCATGCCCATGGGTTTGGAGCTTGCTTGCCCTTATCGCTCGAGATTGCCACGTCTTGAGACTTGCCAAGTGGGTTGGAACCCTTGAGCTTTCGGTTAGGAGCTAAACTAAATGCTCAACCGGTGCACCTCCAGGGCATCTTGGCACCAAGTTGATCCCCAGGAAGTTCATCTTTCAATCTATCTTTCAGCTTCAGGAAAATGCTGACCTGAACCTGGGGGCCAGGCATGGAATTCTTGACAATCTCCCCAGCACCTCCAGCGATGGACTTGGAAGAGTCCAAGGATCCTCCTGCCTCTCAGGACCCTGCTGCTGCCTGCCAGTGGGACCCGGTGCCAGAAGCTCCGGGCACCCCGAATCAGATGGATTTTGATGGACCGAGAATCCAGGACCTGGTGCAACAATTTGAGGCCCTGCCGGGTGATCTGGAGGGTCTGCCCACAGAGGGCTCCCCCTGTCCCCTGCACATTGCCACCGGCCATGGCCTGGCCCCCCAAGACATTGCCAATGCCCCTGGGCTCCTGTCCTCTGAGGCTGGGCGGGAAGACTTACTTAGCCTGTTGCATTATGAAGAGTGCCTGCCTTCCCAGCCCAGGCCTCAGGCTGAGTCCCCAGAGCCTACCCCCCGCCTGCTGCAGCCTCCTGAGGACCCAGACGTGGACACGAGCCTGCCGGAATGGTCAGAGGGGGCCTCTGCTGGGCAGGAGGGCAGCCGCAGCTCGGGTAGTTCGCCTGAGCCCTGGCTGGAGACGGAGCCTCTGGTCAGGCCCGAAGCACCAGCGGCTAGCTCCCAGGTAGTAGTGACCCGTTCCCTCTGCCATCTGCAGGCAGATGGGAGACTCAGACATGCCCCTTTCTGTCTCCTTCCAGAGTCCCGAGACCCCGGCTTCGTGCCCTGTCCCCCAGGAGGGTGAGTGCCCTGCCTGTCCCCGCACTTGAGGGTTTGTTCCAGAATGACTCAAATTAGGTTCTAAAATCTGACCTGGAATTTTCGAGCAGAAGGTTCTGGAAAGGGGGTGAGGATGGTTGTGAGTAGATTGCAGGTGGCCTGATAGAGAAGAGAGGGTCTTGAGAATGTTCTAGGTGTGAGAGACGCGCCAGTAGCAGCGGGATGTTGTGTCTAGAATGGCTTGCATTTTAAGTGATGGTGGGCGGAGGGCGTGAGAAGATGCCAAGAACTGACGCCCTCTCACTTCTGTGTGGGGCTTTTGCACTGGGTGCCAGGGTTGGGCTGTTCAAATAGAAATCTGGCCCACAAATCCAAAGATATGTACCATCTGGCTCTTGACAGAAACGGTTTGCCAAGCTCTGCCTTAGAAGCGTGGGGCAAACCAGTTCTGGCCTTCTAGAATGGTCTAGCATTTCCCCCAGCTAGGTTTCCAGGTCAAAGAACAAGCTCACAGGTTGTGGGGAGGGGAGCTGGTGTGGACCTCTGTAGCACCAGGAAGCTTCCGGAATCATGGGCCGTGCTATGACTCACCTAGGAGGCTCCAGAACTTGGTACTTTGCCTGGGATTCTAGCTTAAAGGAGACTAGGTTGGTGAGATTGTTTAAGGGCTGTCTGGCTCTACTGAAACTGGACCATTCTAGAACCTGGGGTTTTTAAAACTATTAAAACAAAAGGCAAACTCACTGCCAACGAGTCGATGCCCACCCATAGCAATCCTACAGGACAGGGTCGAACTGCCGCTGTGGGTGTCCAAGACTCAAACTCTGTCCTGGAATAGAAAGCCCCATCTTTCTCCTTAGGAGCGTCTGGTGGTTTTGAACTGCTGACCTTGCAGTTAGTGGCCCAACATGTAACGAAAAGGCAACCGGGGTGCCTCACTGTTCGTTTAGAGTTGTAGAGGAAGCAAACAAACACAAACATTGCCATCAAGAACTCTGCTCTCTCCATAGGGCTGTGGGATGGGGAGGGGGCTGAACTTTTGGAAGCGGACCACCAGGACTTTTCTTCATAGACATGCGTAGCTGGATGAGCCTGAACTGCCAACGTACAAGTTAGCAGCCGAGCGCATAACTGCCAGCATTGCCCGGGGGCTCCTAGAATAAAAATCCTGTGTGGGGGGGGCTGTCTTGATTCTAGCGGCTTCAGAAAGTTCTAGAGCAGCTCTCCAGGGAGGAAACAATAGGAAATGAAGACGAGCCATAGATGATCTTCTTTTTTTGCATGCAGCCACATTTATTAGGTAGATGGTCCTCAATGTCCGTTATCCAACTTTCAAAAAATGCCAGGTGGGCTAGAGATGCTTCTGATACCTTTTGTCTTCCCGGAGGCCTAAGGGAAGCTCCTTTCAACAGGTAATTAGTATGTTAGAATATCCTGAGGTAGCTGGCATGATTTTCCCCCAAATCTGGATCTTCCAGATCCGATGAGAATCACACGCCGACAACGTGGCCCAATTTGGACCACCCCCAGGTGGCGCGGCTGAGGCCGCCCTATGAGGGAGCGCTCCGCTCAAACTCCCGGGTGGGCTTGGTGCCCCCCTTGTGGCACAGTTGGCTCCTGAAGGTTGGTGCCAGAGCTGACCGCGGCTTGAATTCGCCGAGGGCTGCTGTCCAGAGCGGTGGCCTCCGCAGCCATTCTCAACCGAGAGTTCGTGACTGGGACACTATGGCTCCGCAGAGTGGTCTGGCTCTAGACGAGAGGCGTCGAGGCTCTAAGCTGGGTGGAGGGATCCGCAGAACCGTGATCTGAGGGAGTGCTTTTTAGATGCTTCTGGCATTTCTTGGCGTGACGGGGCACGGCTGAGGCTGCGGACTGTTGGGAGGCGATCCTGGAACCATCAGGAGTCCTGCGCGCTGTGATCCTGTCAGCCCTTCTAGATGTACGGAGTGCCGAAGCCTGTGGCTTTAGAGGGATCACGGTCGTGTGGGCTCCAGGCCTGTCAGACAGCCAGCTGGAATCTGGAGGAGCCAGTTGGAGTTCCGGACGGGGCCCATGTGTTGGATAGAATACTTGTTCATTCCGATCAGGCAGCCTTAGACCCCTGGGGTGGGGTGCCTGTAGCCCCCTGGATGGGTGAAGGAGAATTCTAGAACACTGGACACCCTGTTGTCTGGCTCTGTCTTGACGGAGGAATTCCAGAACCGTGCAGGGGGTCACCTATGGATCTGGAATGCCGGGGCTCTCAGACACGGGAGCAGCGGCTCCTGGTGCTGGCCTGGTCTCCAAGAAAGCCTTAAGGCTCGTTCCGGAGTCCATTCTGACTCTGAGCCTATAGGACAATGTAGAACTGCCCCTCTGGGTTTCCAGGGCTATAACTCTACATCCATAGAAAGCCTCCTCTTTCTCCTGTGGAGCAGTGGGTGGTTTCTAACTGCTGACCTTGGTGCTACGGGCCCCACGTGTAACCACTACACCAGCAGGGCTCTTTAAGGCTCCCACTAAGCCCTCAAACCAAACTCGCTGCCATCAAGTAGAAGCTGACGCATAGCGACCCTGCAGGACAGGATGGGACTGCCCCTCTGGGTTTCTGGACTATAACTGTACAGGGGTACCCAAGAACAGCTGGTAGTTGCAAACTGCTGGCAGGTTGGAGCTCTAGCTCTGTGGACTAGAACAGGCACCAGAGCCGGCTCAAGTCTCAAAGAAGCCTCTAGATCTCCGGGCAGAGGGCATGCCCTTGGCTCCAGCTGATTGGTTCTCTGTGAGGCTCTAGATGCCTCGGGGGCCCAAGGGGCCAGCAAGACGGACAGGCTGCACACACTTGCACTGTTGCCCCCAGCACCCGGTCCCTGTGACCATGAAGACCTGCTTGACGGCGTCATATTCGGTGCCAAGTACTTGGGCTCTACCCAGCTGGTGTCCGAGCGGAACCCGCCCCCCAGCACCCGCATGGCTCAGGCCCAGGAAGCGATGGACCGCGTCCAGGTGAAGCCAGGACTGGATGGGTGGGCTCGAGGGGGCGCCTGCAGGCAGGTGGGGCACCAGCGGGTCTGCGGGCCACCACCTTCCACCGCTCCTGCCCCTGCCCACAGGCCCCGGCGGGGGAGACACAGCCCATGACCGAGGTGGACCTCTTTGTCTCTACCAAGCGGATCAAGGTTCTAACCACTGACTCCCAGGTACAGGTGGGGTGGAGCTGCGTGGGGGAGGGGGGGTGGCCAACGGCGAGCCCCCGTCCACGAGCCCCCCCATCCACCCCGCTGCTCTCCCTGCCCAGGAGGCCATGATGGACCATGCCCTGCAGACCATCTCCTACATCGCCGACATCGGCAGCGTGCTGGTGCTCATGGCGCGGCGGCGGCTGGCCCGGAGGCCCACTCCCCAGGACCGTGCCCGCCGCCTCTACAAGATGATCTGCCATGTCTTCCTCTCCGAGGATGTGAGCGGCCTCGGGGTCCATCAGCCCGCTGCCCGCCTGCCCAGGAGCCCGCCACATGGCCCTCCCCAGGACCCCGCGGGCCATATAGTCTCACCCTCCCCATCAACCCTTGAGCCCTGTGTGCTCATCGTTTTCCTGAGCACCTGGCCCATATGGTTCTACCTTAAGTTCTCAAGTCACACTTTCAGTCCTTCCCAATAGCCCCTGGGCCATATTGTCTCCCCCTCCCTCCCTCCCCCGCCGCCTGCTTCCCACAAGTCTCGGGGCCATTATTTACTCAAACTTCCCAGAAGAGTCTAATCTGTAGGTTCTCACCTTAAGACCCCCTGGGCCGTGTTTGCTCACCCCGTGTTCCGCATTCTCCTTCCCACGAACTCCCCCTGGGGGGGTGCTTTGGAAACCCAGAGGGGCCGAGAAAGCAGAGTACACTTGATACTGAATTATGAGCTAAAGTCCAAACGCTTCTCATTGTGGAGGGAATGCTGGGTGATTTTTGTTCTGTTTGGGAACTTGTGTATAAACCTTCGGGCATTGCAACCTGCACCCCTAGGCCTGTGTCCCCCACCTCAGATGCCCCAGGGCTGCCTCCTGGGCCCCTTCCCCTAGGAAGGGTGGGGGCTGGGAGCCTAAGGCAACCCATTCCCATCTGCAGGCCCAGCTCATAGCCCGGGCCATCGGCCAGGCCTTTGCCGTGGCTTACAGCCAGTTCCTGCAGGAGAGTGGCATTGATCCCAGCCAGGCCCGGCAGAGCCAAGGGGCCATAGGGCCCGGCCACCTCCACAACGGGGACCTTGACCATTTCTCCAACAGCGACAACTGCCGGGAGGTGAGTGGGTGGGCGCTGCCCCTCCCATGCATGCCCAGGGAGCCACCCTCATGGCCGCTCTGTCCCCAGGTGTGCATCCAGAAACGGCCAGGTGAGGGCCTGGGTGTGGCCCTGGTGGAGTCGGGCTGGGGCTCCCTGCTGCCCACAGCTGTCATCGCCAACCTGCAGCACGGGGGTCCAGCCGAGCGCTCGGGCGCACTCAGCATCGGGGACCGGCTCACTGCCATCAACGGGGTCAGCCTGGTGGGGCTGCCCCTGTCCACCTGCCAGACCGCCATTCGCGTGAGTCCTGGCCTGCCAGTGCCTCCCTCATCAGCAGCCCTCCCGCCGGCCGTGTGCTTCACCAGTCCCACAATCCTTTGGGCCTCATGTTCTCAAACTTCCCACAATGCCCTGGCCCATCACCCTTTCCCACCTTCCCTGGACTGTGTGCTCTTGCCCTTCCCATAATCCCCTGGGCTTTTTGCTTTTAATCTTCCCACAAGCCCCCGGACTATGTATTCTCACCCGAGGCTGCAGCAGGGGAGGCTGCTTGTTGCAAGTTACCTGGGAGCTTGGCTGCAGAGCCCATTCAAGTCTTAACCCACAGGCCCCAGATGGGGAACCGGGTCCCTGGGGGGGGCGCAACAGCACAGTCTAAACCTGCCTGCACCCTACAGGGCCTGGGGCCCAGTAGGGCCGGAGGTCACCCGGTGTGGAACACAGTTCCCCCCACCCCCACCCCAGAGCCTGCCCCTCCCCACTTCACAAGGGCCCTTTTAGAATGACCCTTGGTTTCCACCCACCACTTGGGGTTGGATTGGGATGCTGTGCCTGACCCAGTCCCCGCCCACCCCACAGGAGGTGAAGCCGCAGACATCTGTGACCCTCAGCATTGTGCACTGCCCCCCAGTCACCACGGCCATCATCTGTCGACCCCACGCCCGAGAGCAACTGGGCTTCTGCGTGGAGAACGGCATCGTGAGGCGGGGTCCTGGGTGCTGGGTGAGGGGCGGGCGATCACACAGCAGCCCCTGAGCAGCTCCTCTACCCACCAGATCTGCAGCCTCCTGCGTGGGGGCATCGCCGAGCGCGGGGGTGTCCGCGTGGGGCATCGCATCATCGAGATCAACGGGCAGAGCGTGGTGGCCACGCCGCACGCCCGCATCATTGAGCTGCTCACGGAAGCCCACAACGAGGTGCGTGGGGCCCGGGGGGGCCCCCCTCCCCTGCCCCCAGCCAGCCCTGAGCCTCCAACCCCCACCTCCCACGCAGGTCCACATCAAGACCATGCCAGCCGCAACCTACCGCCTGCTCACCGGCCAGGAGCAGCCTGTGTACCTGTGACGCCCGGCAGCCCCGCCCTCCCTCACCACTGTGCCTTAGCCCTGCCGTCGTCGCGCTGCGGGCCAGCCAGGGCGCCGCCTCAGCACGCTCCACTCACAGGTGCTTTCTGTGTAGAAACATTAAAGGTTTATCCACTGGGCAAAGGCTCGGCTTGGGGTCTGTGGAGCTGAGCCGACGGAGAGGTGAGAGTTGTGAAAATAGCTGTTTATTGAGACCAGGGTGACAGGAGCAGGGCCAGTTCCGTATGGACAAAGGGATCTCCGCAAGTGGAGCAGAGGGAGGCCACTGGGCCAGCGGGCCACCTGGAGGGCTCAGAGGTCAGTAGCTGGGCCCCAGTCATAACCTTCATCTGAGGACTCATCGTCTCGGACGCGGGTGAACTTCTTCTTCAAGGCCTCCCGCTCGAACAGCCTAGGGATTGGAAGGTGCAAAGGAGGCTGTGGGCAGATCGCGCTAGGCAGAGCAGGCGTGGGGCGAAGCCAAGAGTAGCCAGCCCTCCTCGGCGAACACGTATACACCCTTCAAAACCCCAGCCCCAGTGCCCGCTCCTTCAGAAAGTCTTCCTAAACCTCCCAGAAATGGGATCTCCGCATGGCCCTGGGCACGCAGATGGCTGCGTCTGGCCCTGCTGCAGCCACCAGGCGAGAAGCGCTCTGGAGGTGTGGTGTGGATGTAGGGCTCCTGTCTGCCCACAGAGTCTGCAAAAGACGGGTGAGGGCCCGGGGCTAGGTTCTTACCGGATGCTGTCCTGGCGCCACTGACTCGGGGGGTTCCGACTCTCCACCTTGGAGGAGTCAGGAGGTTAATACTTCCCCACGAAGGAGAAGAAACAGAGGGCTGACCCCCCCAAAACACACACACACACACACACACACACACACACATTCTCCCCACCTCTATCCAGGGAGTGCAGACTTTCTGCCCCCCACCCCCGCCCCTGGTCCCTCTTCTAAACAAGGAGACGTGCAGCTGACAGGAGAGTGGTGGGGCTCAGGTCGCCAGGCCTGTGGCCAAAGGGAGGATGAGTTACCGGTGTGACCGCTCAGGACTGCTGTAACAGTCACAGTCCGCAGGAGGGCGCTCGGCAGTGGGACAGGTGATGCCCTGCACAGCCCCAGGGAGCTCTTCTCAGCGGGCGCGTACAGCTTCATAAAGGATCCCGAGAAAGCGGTGCCTTCCCAATCCCAGGGAGGTTCTCCGGGGACCAGGACAGCCCTGTGCGCGTTGCTCTTAACTGCCTAAGAGCCCGCCCCCCGCAGCCGGTTGTCCAGTTCCGTCAAATGGCATGGTGGTCGCAGGGCTTCACTGACTGGTTCTCAGAGGCCGGTTGCCAGGCCTCCCGAGCCTCTCAGTTAAGAGATTCCATGGAAACCTGCTTGGTGTCTGAGCGGCATGCCAGCCCCCAGGGACAAGCAGATGGTGGCTGTGTCCAAGGTACGTCTGCCAGGATCAAACCCTGGTCTCCCTAGGTACAGGTGGGAATTCAGCCACTGGCCTGCCACTGCCTCCAGCCCACGTGACCACCAGCTCCAACCTCGCTGCCATCAAGCCGGTGCCCAAACCAAGCCACCCTACAGGACAGAGTGATAGGCCCCTATGGGTTTTCGAGCCTGTAACTCTTTACGGGAGCAGAAGGCCTCCTCTCTCCCAAGGAGCGGCTGGTGGTCTCCAACTGCCGACCTCGTGGTTAGCAGCCCAATGCGTAACCACTACAGCACCAGGGCTCCTCCTATACAAGCAGCTGTTGTCGAGTTAGCTCTGGCACGTGGCGATCCCGCCTCTTGTCAGTGGAACTGTTACTCCGTCGTCGGTCCCAGTGTCTGATTTTCGGAAGTAGATGGTCAGGCCCTATTCCCGCGGCACCTCTCGATAGACTCAGAGCTCCACCATCTTTCAGGTGGTAGCCAGGCAGCCTCCGTGCTCCCTGGGGGGTGGATTCCAACCCAGCAGCTCGGGGTGATAGCAGCACCACCCCTTGACGCTTTTAAGACTGTGACCCTTGGGCAGTAGTGCACCAGGCCTTTCTTTCAAGGCGCCCCCAAGTGGACCCAAAGTGGGAGAACAAACATCTTGGCAGCTTGCGCCCCCCCGGGACTCACCCCACATAATAGATACAAACCCAAACTCACCACGGTCAAGTGGATTCTGCCTCATAACCAGCCTACAGGAAGGACCTCCCCGGACAGCTCCCTAGACTAAATCGTGCCGTGAGCAGACAGCCTGTCTCCCCAAGGAGCGGCTGGTAGGTTTTGAAGCCCTGACCTTGTGGCTAGCAGTCCAGCACTTACCTGACAGCACCGCGTGTACACGGTGCTAAGTAAACACTCATGATGGTTAATGCCCTGCTGTTGTGGGTCAGAGCCCAGGCTGGGCACCCGGAGCGCCCCAAGCCACCCTGTGATGTCAGGACTTAAGCAGCTCCCCGGAGGTGGGTGACCCCATGTCTTGGGCTCAGGTGTCCAGATCTGAGTCCAGCGGCATCACCTGTCTGACATCCCACTGAACCTTGCAGTGCACCCCACCAAGACTCCTGCCTGGACCCCCTGCCCGGTCACCTGGGCTCCTGGGTGGGCTGAGGGTCTCCCCTGGTCCCGAGGGCTCGGGGGCTCCTCCACCAGCACTGGCTCTGAGGATCGGGCCAACGCTGGTGCCACCAAAGGCCTTTCCACGTCCACGTGGTGCCCGTCTTCACCATAGGCATAGCCATCCCCGTCGGCGTAACCTTCCCCGTCGGTGTAACCTTCCCGGTCGGTGTAGCCCTCGCCGTCGGTGTAGCCCTCGCCATCTGTCTCGTAGTCGCTGTTGACCCGGCTGTCACAGCTCAAGTCAGCTGTGCTGTCAGCCAGGCCGCGGAGGGGGAGGTCCAGGTTGTCCTCTGAGGAGCTGTCCAGCTGTGGGGCAAGAGGACAGCGTGGACCTGAAACCCTCCGTCTCCAGTTCCAGACCCAAGCCTTAGCTCTGTCTGTGGCTCCAGCCTTTAAACCTCACCCCCAATCCAGCAAGGACCCCCAGTGACCCTCGACGAAAGACCACGTCTTCAGACCTGACCCTTGACCCCAGGCCAACCCCAGCCAAGACTAACTCAGCAGTTACAGGCCCTGACCTTGGCCCTAACCCCCAGCCCTGCAACAGAGCCGAGATGGTGAGGAAGAATCAGAGGGGCTGACAGTCTGAGGTCAGAGTGGGCCCCAGCTCCTTGATCAAAAAAAATAAAAGATAAGGCTGCCATCAAGTTGGCTTCAGCTCATAGCGACCCTATAGGACAGCGTAGAACTGCCTCTGTGGGTTTCCAAGATGGCAAATCTTTACAGGAGTAAAAAGCCTCATCTTGTCTCCCAAAGAGCCGCTGGTGGTTTCGAACTGCTGACCTTGTGGTTAGCAGATCAAAGCATAACCCACCCACTCTTGACACTTGGGTGCCATCTATAGGCTAAAAGGGGTTATTGACAGCCCAGTCTAAATCCCCCAGTTCAGGCCTTTCATCCTAGCCCATGATTAACTCTGATTTTTTACCTCAAGGTGACCCTTGGCCTTGGCCCAAGGAGAAGCTTCCTGGCTCAGAGCTGGGCCTCAAGCCTTGACCCCTAGCCTCCCAAAGGGAGATCGAAACCTGAGTTCTAATGCCACCTGCCCCTCTTGTGTAAGACTGTCTCTACAGGAACCTTGATCCCGGT